TGTAACTGTGTGCCCTAGCAATCAGAGCAGGTATTTGATAAAATATGTCATCTATTTCTTAGTAAGTCCGAGAGAAATGTGTTGTATAAAAGGACTCTTGAGTATGTAATAGAGAGGATCTTTTAGTATTTTTGCAAAACAATTTTAACTTATTAAAATAAAATGCTCATGTTTTGATAAAGCACAGTGCATAAAAAATTGTGCTTTGAGCTGAGACACCACGGTCAAGTTATGAGATCGTAAGATGGTCTACCTTAATATGTAGAGTATAGTTAGCTTCCAATTAAACTTAATTGATAAGATATCTGGTTATTCCTTAGCAAGAGTTGGATTAATTAAGGAAGAGTTGGAAAATCAAGGTCAGAGACTGTAAGAAATAGAAGGGCCAAAGAATGTGCATGTAGAAAGGTATTCCCTTAATTGTAATAGGAGCAAAATTTTAAAAGGTTTATGTGAGGCATCTGTCATACGGCGGAGAAATAGTTCAATGAAAATGCTATTTTAGGAAAATCTGTTGGATGCTAATGCTCAGACTCAACTGGTTCCCAGAAGGCATGGTAATGACTGGAAAAAATGAAGTGACATTTTAAAAGACATTATTGCAATTATATGTTGAAAAAATAGTGCCAGTGGATGCGGGCAATCATTTCCATTCAAGCAGAAAATAATGATCTTATAACTCCCCACTTTGTATTTGTGTACGAAACAAATAATGCTAACAATTTCCTATCAATATACAGAGATCTTGCTTGGAGCTAGGTAACTTTGGCTCATCCTCATCTTCATGAAATGTGAAAGTCCGATTAATGAGCCTGCTTCAGTGATTACAATAAAAACATAATTTATATGCAACTGATCTCTAGACTGTGGAATAAATGAAATCACAAATTATTTCATGTGAACTTAACAATTCCATGTTGTTAAAAATACGCATTCGCATTTCAGGATACGTACTTAAATTATTTATCTGAATCACACACAATTCACATTATAGTAAAATAATTGAAAGCACAATTATGATAAGGACTTAATGATGAACGAATGAGGCAATAGTGATGATTGTTTATGCTAATTATGTTTTATACAGTAATTTATATGAAATGATGTTAAAAACAAGCAGCACATTATTTCATGATGCTATTAATAACTCCCAAATGTGATCATGCTCATTAAGAAGACTTCGGGTATTTAGTTTTTTGAAAGCAATATTAAGCATAAACAAGAGCAGCATCCTCTCTAGCTTCAACACAGGACACCTGGGGAGAATTGATCAGAAGTCAAGGATTAGGCACCAACAGGAAGAAAAAGAGAGTTCCTCCTAGCTGCTTTCAACTTTTATCTTAGAGCTGAATAGCATTAGAAAAACCCTTAGGGATGAGTAAATTCATACATTTTGGTATCTGGCATCTACTAGGCATAAACATAGTGTCTCTGAGGGTTGAAAAGTGCCTTTCAATGGTATTAACACAATCCATCATATTCACTTTGGAATGAATATGCTGAATCAGCATTGCTGACTCTTAACTTTTATTGAATATATTTATTTTGTTTCACAAGTTCTAATTTTCTTGACCAAGATGATATAAATTTAAATATCTTTTGACACCAGGTTATTTTTTGTAAACATGTGGACAGGAAATGCTGGGAAAAAGTTCTAGATTTATTTATTTATTCCAATATCAATTTCAGCTCTGACATAATTCAGACCTGGCTTCTTTAGACCGAGGCAAAATATATTTCATATAGCATGTATTCAAGAAATATACATTCAAATAAATTAGGTTTAATTTTATATTATGCATAAGTAAAATGTTAATTAAGAAATATAACCATAGTCATAGGCAAATTATTTATGTTAACAGAAAAAAAAATCTATTAAATACAAACTCACACAATACCAAATAATTACTGATACAAGTCAAATATATTAATGTGTGTTTCATTAAACTACATTTTTGTGTTTTTAGTTAAAGTTTGTGTTATTTTGTTAGTGAATTACAACTACACCATTTAAGAGCCTTAAATTTATTATTACTGTATTAATGGTTCCAAAATATGCATCTATTCCCTTGATAACAGTGTTGACTTTCTGTTAGTCTGTTAAGGTAATCGATTATACTATGCGAGAAAAATAGAGTTTCCATATAAAGTGGTACAAAAGAAGCCACAAAATCGGTTTGATGTAAAAATTACTGGATTATTTTTTACTTTTTATTACTTAACAAAGAATTAAGAGAATGGAGAGAGAG